CAAACAACAAAAGACAAGGAGAAAATAACTCACAGCTTTTGAATGAATAACTTTAGCTTTAATAAACATGAATCTATCAATTTAAACAGTAGGCTAGGTCACATTACTTACCTGAACAGTAATGTTAGTAGACCTTCCTAAAATTAAAGCACTGTGTATCTTTGTTTTGTTGTATATTTATTTAACTATTTGTTTGTACTTTGTTTCTCTGTTCTTGTTCTTATTTTGTCTCATCTTATGTGATGAAATGCCTGCACTGGCCCATTCATTAGGAGTGCAACAGATCCCAGTTGATCCATGACCTGTACCAACCAGGCCACACGGATGTGTGATTCGCATGTGATACTGCATGTGATTCGCAGATTAATTGCCATAAAGTTTAAAGTTTAACCATAATAGAGCGAAAGTTTATCATTTGCTCATGTTTAATCTTGACAATTTGCACATTCAAGCGGTTTTAAACCATTCAAGCGCAAGAAGAGGCCAAAGAGATCTTGTTTGCGTGCTGTTATCGGACCGAATTGATTCCTTTTTCGCGTCTCTTTGTGCTTGAATGGACACATAAGTTGGAATACCCATCTCGGCAAGTATTTTCATAAACGCAGTCGGTTATGTCTTAAGTGAACATAAACAGTTGAGAGAGAAATCGGATGTGTGTCATTATATTGGATCAGTTGATTAGGTCTTAAAGTGACAGCAGCCTATAAATACTCTCTGCTGTCTATGTCATTAATGTTAATCAAACAGCTAAAAACACTTCTTTAACAAAGACCAATCTATATTTCATTTACTCCGTGAACAGTGTTATATCAATACAGATTTGAACAGTGTTGCGATGTTAATTATGTTCCTAATTTGTTTTTGTTTTTAATATAAAAATATAACAAAAAGAACTGGTAACAATACAGTCAAAGTACCAAATCGATAAGTAAATGGTAAGAGTAGTAATACTGTTAAAACCTTAACAATACCCATCCCTAGTTCTTCCAAAAAACGTTTGAGGCAACTTTAGACGCTCACCTGCCATTCTTGCCGACGAAGGTTGCCAGATATCCTTGTCCCTCCGAGTCGTGGACATTTTCTGTCATTTCCTGCTCTTGAAATATAGACTGCAGGCCACGCACAGTCGCAGAGACATCAGCTAAACAGACAGAGGGAAAACCAACGATTACTTGATCCTCCGCCTCAAAAGCCCCTAAAGAAAATCTTCTTACTGAAGATGACTGACCTAAAGCCAATTTTGCAGCACACGTCTCAACTCATTTGCGCATTTAATAGTGTTTTTAAAACTACTTAAAGGGATAGTTCACCCGAAAATCATTTAAACCAGCATTGCCCTTTTATTGGTGGAACCAAAAATAAGGTATTTTGAGAAATGTCTCAGTTTTTTTTGTTTGTTTGTTTGTTTGTTTGTTTTTTTACATCCAATGAAAGTCAATAGTGATATCATTAGTGGATATTATCTGCAGGTTGGAGTAATGGGCGTAAAGGAATCGGGCGTGGAGAAAGGTCATCATTATTGATCACGAAAGCTGACTAACTGGTGTGGGGTACGGTTAGGGGTTAAATTTTATTGTAGGCGATCACCTTTGACCACACCCGTTAATTTGACCTGCAGGTATCCCAGTCTCAAACTAGGGTCTGCATCTGTCCATTACACAGAATTCATTTAATTCAGGGATTCAAATTTCTCTTGAATAATTTTTAACCTAGTTATGCAAAATATTTATTCATATCCATTCTACAGTTTATAAAGTAGAATGATTGAGTAATTTTATCTAATGTAAATAAATCTAAAACAATAATACATGATACTCGTGCACCTGTCACACTGCTCAAAAGAGATACGCCGTGTTTGTGTGCAATATCGAGACCGCTGTAGTATGCAAGAATTGAAAACTCATCTTATCGGCTTGCGATATTATTAGCCAGTCAGATAGAGGAAATGCCATACGAAAGACTTTCAGAGCTTGTCAACATACACAAAAAAAATGAATCGTTCAAAAATATGTCAGATGCACCAGACTAAGTTAACGTTACCTATATAGGATTTAAACGCTGTAACGTTACATACATAATAACTGGTAATATATAATTGGAAATATGTGTGTTTTAGTATGCACTGCGGTTAGCTCGCCTGCTAGTGCATATTTATATGTGCATGTGCACATATGAGCTCTATTCAAACGCAAGCTTCGGAGGAAAACCGACATTAGCCTCTGCTAACGCTGCTATGCTACCCCCCTAGAAGGTCATTTATCCGAGCAACCGTCACTAGGATATGTACAACAATATAAGTTTTCCCCCTAACAGCAATGACATGCATCCCGCGGTCGTCTTGGCAATGCAGAAGTGGGACTGCAGCCTCGCTGCATTGTGAAGACACTAAAATCGCTTACAGGGCAGTTGCGAAGAGGCCCGTTTGTCTGCAGTGCAACACGAGCCCCTTCTTCTCTTCCACTCGCCCCCTTTCATACATTTAACTGACATTTAACTTACCTGGCGCACGGAGCTTGAAGTCAAGGGTGTAATGTAGCACTGCCATGATGGGGTAAAGCCGTCTGCCATGCCTGGATGAGGCAGCCGGTGGTGAATCGGTGGAGAGTCTGTGGTGACAGAAGGAGAACGAGCACGCCGGGAGGAGGGGGTGTGTGTTGTGTGGTGTGTGCACCGCGCGCTCTCTCGCTCTCTCTCTCTCTCAGTCGAGCTCGGAAGTGGGTGGTTCGTAGCGCAGTGGTTTGTTTGATAACATCTTCTTTTTCAGTTTCCTAGAGATTTGTTCACTAGTTTTACAGGTTTAAACGGTTACTAAACATACACAGCAAACGCAGTTCACTTAGGTCCCAATTGTTATATTTTAAGAATGTTCGATAAGAACTATATCGAACAAAATATGCCATTAAGATACATTTTAATTAATGTAAGTGATATTTTCCAAATTCTTAAACTAATTATTCGTTCTGTGGCCCTTTCTGCAGATTATCTATGTATTTTGTCAACTGCTGGCAAAGTATGACATCATTAACGCCCCAGTTTTTGTTTTTGTGGGCTATGTTTTATATTTAATTTATCTGAAAATAATTTGGGAACACAAATGTAGCGTACAATTAGGCCTATTTATCATATTGCATTAATAACTGAAAATGAACAGTCTGAACGAACATTTGAATCCGTGCATGGAAGGGAACGGACATTATTCGTTTAGTTAAAAGATTTGTTCAATAACATCGATTCGTGGAAGACCCCGAGGCATGATCAAACCCAAACTCCATTTTACACGTGTAGGGCGTGGACTTACTCGCTGCACATCAAATTGTATTCTCCAGGGTGCAGCTTTTAATTCGACTGTAAGACTTTTTTTAGTTTTGCTAGTGATAGATGTAGGCTAATAGTAGATGTATTAAGTGACTCCCCATACACTTTTAAGCAATAGCATGTTCACACGTTCAGTATGAACTTGAAATGTTTATGATAAACAGAAATACTTGCACAGAGAAGTCCAAATTAGACATGATTTAATGACTCGTAAATGTAAGTACACATTGATGGCCTAAGACACGAAACGAGCATTTGTGTGAGAAAATGAACAGTATTTATATCATTTTTACCTCTTGTAACCACAGCCACGTCCAAGTGATCTGAGGGCGCAGGCGCTTTGTGGCTGTGGTAACAAGAGGTGAAAACAATATAAATACTGTTCGTTTTCTCACACAAACTGCTCGTTTCGTATCTTAGGCCATAAATGTGTACTTACATTTACGAGTCATTAAATCATGTCTAATTTGGACTTCTCTGTGCACGCTCTTTGAGGTGGTGACCATAGACCTGATTCATCTGATTCTCCCGGAATCCAGAATGTCAGCAAAGATGAAAGGTGTGTTTGAGCTGCACCCTCTGCACAGGCATTTCCTTCGGGCTACGGCTTATTCATTTCACTTTTGTTGTGAAAGGGCCATTACATTTATCAAAAATAGAACTTATGGCTTTTTTTTGTTCTTAAAAAAAAAAAAAAAAGAGAGGCGAATAAAGTAATACAAAAGTAGCGCAACACATTAATTTTCATAAAAAGTAACTAACGCAATTAGTTACTTTTTTAGGGAGTAACGCAATATTGTAACATTTGTGACACTGGACCACAAAACAGTCAGATTTTTTTTACATTTTTTATACATCACATGAAGGCTGAATAAATAAGCTGTCCATTGATGTATAGTTTGTAAGGAAAGGACAATAATCAGCCAAGATACAACTATTTGAAAATAAATCTAAAATCTAAAAATTGAGAAAATCGCCCTTGAGAAACTTGTCAATTTATGTTAGCGATTTTGCTGCATCCATCAACAAACATATATTTTTATATGTTTACGGTAGGTATATCTTCATGGAACATGTTCTTTACTTAATTTCCTAATGATTTTTGGCATAAAAGAAAAATCGATAATTTTGACCCATACAATGTATTATTGGCTATCGCCACATATACCGTGCGACATGTGACAGGTTTTATGGTCCAGGGTCACATTCTACTTTTAAAAGTAACTTTCCCCAACACTGGCACCATGGTAATTCTGCTATAGGGCATGAAACTGCACTCCTCTCACTACAGATATGTTTAGCTCTGGTTTTCTGTTTGTGTCATCCAAAGGCAGACAGTGCTCAGTTTTTAATGAAAGCCTCTCTCACCACACTTTCGATAAGGGTGACCTAATTTGAGTCCTTACACCATCTCCCTCATAATGTTGGCTTTATTCAAAGCATTTAATTGCCAACTGAACCAAACCGAGCAGCACGTTTGTGAGCACGTGCATTGAACGCCTATAGGCAGTGCCTAAATATAGGTTAATGTATAAGTACAGCACAGATCAGCAGTGATATTACACAAATCCCAAATATTACCAAATATTTAAAAAACTGTTCTGATGGCCCAACCCTCCAAATATATAACCATACAAAATAAAATCACAAATGAGATGCCAAACAAGTCTCATTAGAACTCAAACTAATGTCAAAACATCAAACAATTTATTGATAAAATTACTTTTTTGGAGATACTGGAACACTGGTGCTTTCACATGAAAGTTTCATTTTGTTAAAGATATTTCAGGAACACATTAAAAGGGATTTACACTTGCCGTTATCTTCAGATAACACATAGTTCAGCATACAAAACAATGTACAAACATCTCAATAAATATCATGCTTACAAAAATAGACAGTGTCAAACTAATTAATCGGTTTAGTTCAACATTATTGCAAGAATCTTGCTGCAAGGGTGCAAACTGTCAGAATATTACAACATACATTATTTAAAACGAACCTAGGCTTTCAACACGCACCCGCACACAGACACGCAATCGTTACATCCTGTCAATTCTTCTCTTAAAGTCACAGTAACATTTACCATTGAAAAATGTTAGCTGGAATTAACACTCTCGGGTAAGACACGTCACAGACATTAAATCTATTAACCAGACAATGGCCATGCAAATCAGATTTAGAACAAAATAATTTCTATATCAGTAGTTTTATTCATTCCCTGTGTTTTTTTTTCTTTCAGTCAGGAGAGACTATAGGGTAGAGTTCATTGGAAGTGCAGTTATCCAACCCCAAATGGAGGCCAAAGTCATCATTACAAACACAAATAATTCAAAAAGAAAAATAACTGTACATACAAAATAATGCCAATATTAGCATGTGCAAGAGCAAAAACGTGAGTGCAATGAGAGGAAATTCATGAACACTGTAACAGAGTAAAAGAATGAAAAATATTCCTTAAGAAATATGTAGATGTTTGATAAAAGCGACTAAGATGAACCCTCCGGGGAAAGATCTTTTTTTAGCAGATATGGCTGGAATGGCTGGTGCTGCGTTCTCCAGCTACACATCTCGATGGATGATCTTAGTTTCTGCCTCTTGAAGAGGGATGTCCTGTCAAAACAAGACACAGTGCTTAATTATGCAACACACCACGTCTAAGATCACAAGACATAAAACAATGTCTTTTTTTAAAGCTGAAAGCACAAAGACATTTGATGTGCAAATATTCAAAAGTTTTGAAGTATAAATAACCCTGGTGAAAATAAAAAGAAAATTAACTTTGCCAAGCAGAAGCATCATGGCATCTTCTACAAAAAAAGTCTTTGATCCGTTTAATTGTATTTTACCCACTGAAGATCACTTGATTTAAACTTACTATTATGTAATCATCTACCAATTCACATGCCACTCGAAAAATAAAACACATTTTTTTTTCCAGTGTGAAATTATTTTTGTCCCAAAAAATGTTTGGTCGAGTTCAGATTCACACTACTGTTCAAAAGTGAAACTGATATGTTTATTCAGCAAGTATGCATTAAATTGCTCAAAAGGGATAGTAAAGACATTTATAGTGTTGCAAAAGACTTTTAACTTTCTATTCATCAAAGAATCCTGAAAAAATGCATCTTTTTCATAAATATATTAAGCCGCACAACTGCTTCAACATAATAGTAAGACATGTTTCTTGAACAGCAAATCAGCATAATTATTAGAATAATTTCTGAAGGATCATGTGATACTGAATACAATGATGCTGAAAAATCAGCTTTGCATCACATAAATAAATTAAATTTTAAAATATATTAACACAGAAAACAGTCATTTTAAATTCTAATAATATTTCACAATATTTCTGTTTTTACAGTATTATTAATCATGTAAATGCAGCTTTAGTGTGCATAGGAGACTTTGAAAAACGTTAAAAATATATATATATATATTTTTAAATTACTGACCCGAAACATTTGCATGGTACATATATGTAAGGTTGTAACTTGAATTCGGGATTTAAAAACGGTGTCCCCACATCTTACACTAAAAAAGTGTTGTTTTTTTTGTGCTCATGTTGCTCAGGGAAAACAGGACCGCAACCGGTGTCCCCTGCGTACCTTGAATGAGTTTTGAAGGATTCGCAGGCGGTGCAGCTTCTCATTGAGTAACGGATCATTGCAGCGACGGACGAATGATCGCTTGTACTCTAATCGAGAAGAGGACCTGTGCTCATTGACAGGCGATAGACTAGTCCTCTCAAGAGCCCTGTACAAATCCCCCAATGAGTCAGCCTGGTGCCTGCGCTCCCGATCTGAACCTACAGAGAGCAGTGAAGAGTTACTCGCAATGACAGTTACTATCACCACAACTGCAATGTATGCACAAGTATAGACCATTTCACAAGATGTAAACAACACTGGTCCAGAAGCACTTCCTGTTTCAGTTTGTAACTGTTTTCTTTATTTCACATGTAAAGAAAACATCTTAAAGATGTTTGTTTAACTTTTTGATTCAGTTTTAAATATTCTGTTGGTTGTATTTTATCCCAGCTTTTATGTAGTGTTAAAAAACTGAAACAGGAAGTGCTTCTGGACCAGTGTTGTTTACATCATGTGAAATGGTCTATATAGTTTTGTATATCAGTAATGGTTATTTTAACAATCATCATAAAGCATTTAAATACACGAACTACATGCATGTTAGTATAGGGCAGGATTAGGGATTCTCAGCTCTATCTCTTCATCTAAGGCTGAACTCCTCTGTTATAGTACAAAACAATAGAATTAGATGTGGTGTGTTTATTGTAATGATCACATTAGCTGTTATTCACTGTCTATCAGGGATCTGGAAGAAAGAGAGAGCAAATGGCCCTGAAGGCAAGCCATATTCCTCTGCTTCCATTCTGAGAAGACATTAACACGGACTGAAGGGACACCTCCTCGTGTGCTGTGAGGCACAGTATAGTTCTGAAAAACCATGAATGTGTGGAACAGAAAGGAGGGATGAAAAAGGATAGACAGGGATGAGAGCTGTCACGTTGTATTAGTACGACTGCACCTAATATGAGGCTATTGGAGGTCTTAAGGGAGATGTGTATTCAGCTGAGATTTGCAGCTACAGTGCATCTGAATCAAGCAGCAATATGTTTATCATTACAGGCTACAATGCAAAGAACTGGAGCGTTGAAGCAAATTGCAGCATCCCCTCAATGACATTTTGCAAAAAAAATAAATTCCATCATGATACCCACCTAATAAAACAACAATGTAACGGTGAATACAGTTATTGTCAGCTTGCTATCAAGCCATTCTCAAAACTACAGAAGTGCAAGATTGAGATTCTTATTGTGATTGTAATGCCTTCTAGTTAATTACAATCAAAATTATTAGTTCTAAATAAAATTCTAAACAAACTGTGAAGCTTAACAATAAGACAGCTCAAAACAGAGATGTAAATCATTTTTCACACACGAACACACACACAGTTGCATTAATAAAATGCCAAAAATAACAATAATACTATGATATAAAAATAATAATATATATTACTTATATATAAACATATTATTAATAATAACTAGGGCTGTCAAATGAGTAATCGCGATTAATCGCATCCAAAATAAAAGTTTGTGTTTACATAATATATGTGGGTGCACTGTGTATAATTATTTTATTTCTATAAATACACACACACATTTAAGAAATATTTTCATGAATACTGTATATACATTTATATATAATTTATATTATATATAAATATAAATATTTTATATATAAATAATATTTTCTTTCTTAAATATACATGCATGTGTGTGTATTATATACAAAATAATTATACACAGTGCACCCACATATATTATGTAAACACAAACGTTTATTTTGGATGCAATTTATCACGATTAATCGTTTGACAGACCTAATAATAACATACTATTATTATTATTTATTCATAAAATATTTATAAAACAATTAAAATCAATTAATTATTCATTATTTATAATCATTATAATAATATCATGATTTTCAAAATATTCATCATATTTATTCAAATATTCTTATTTGTTGATCACTATTAAAATATCAGAAAAAAACAATATCATGGTTGTTATTATCATTATTAATATGAATAATAATAAATTTTATGAATATTTACATGATAATAACGAACAACAATGTATATAATATAATGAATTATAATTATGATTATACTATTATTTTAATAATCATTATTATTATTATATTAATAAAAATTATTAACAATACATATCAGTTGACCACCATTAAAAATATGTATGAAACTCAAGGAAAATCAATAATATCATGACAAACAGGCACACCCTAATAAGGACATAATAGGGGCTTTCATACTGGATAGTTCTAGGAACTATCCACCAAGTGGTTCCCCGAAGAACTAATGGTAGCGTTGTTTTGGTAATAAATATACACTGTAAAATAATATTTTCAAGATTTGTTATCACAACATTTTTTCTTTTGTCAAATCAACTCAAATAATTTACTTAGTTCAGATAACTTACTATTTTGAGTTTCTGATGATTAAATCAATCTTCATTTCAATCTCCATATTAACTCACTTTTTTCAGTTTAATCAACTTAAAATTTGAAGGCAACCAGGTTCCTTATTTTTTTAAGTTAATCCAACAATATTTTTTTTCAGTGTAGGCTATAATCTATGGAAGCTTGTTTCCGCCACTGAATAAAAAAATAAAATAAATAATTGCGACTTTTTATCTCACAATTCTGACTTTTTTTCTCACAATTGCGAGATAAAAAGTCCGAATTGCGTGATATAAAGTCGCAATTGCGAGTTATAAAGTCAGAATTGCGAGATATAAAGTCAGAATTGCGAGATATAAAGTCAGAATTGCGTGATATAAAGTCGCAATTGCGAGATAAAAAGTCAGAATTGCGAGATATAAAGTCAGAATTGCATGATATAAAGTCGCAATTGCGAGATAAAAAGTCAGAATTGCGAGATATAAAGTCGCAATTGCGAGTTATAAAGTCAGAATTGCGAGATAAAAAGTCAGAATTGCGTGATATAAAGTCGCAATTGCGAGATAAAAAGTCAGAATTGCGAGACATAAAGTCAGAATTGCGTGATATAAAGTCGCAATGCGAGTTATAAAGTCAGAATTGCGTGATATAAAGTCGCAATTGCGAGTTTTAAAGTCAGAATTGCATGATATAAAGTCAGAATTGTGAGATTTAAACTCTTCTGATGGGGGAAAAAGAATTGGCCTAATAAGTCGAGTTTATATCTCACAATTCTGAGAAAAGATGTCAGAATTTCGACATATAAACTCGCAATTATGTGTTATAAAGTCAGAATTGCGAGATGTAAACTCGCAATTGTGAGAAAAAAAGTCACACTTCTGTCTTTTTTTCTCAGAATTGCGACTTTATATCTCACAATTCTGACTTTATATCACGCAATTCTGACTTTATATCTCGCAATTCTGACTTTATAACACACAATTCTGACTTTATAACTCGCAATTGCGACTTTATATCACGCAATTCTGAGAAATAAAGTCAGAATTGTGAGATATAAACTCGCAATTGTGAGAAAAAAAGTCAGAATTGTGAGAAAAAAAGTCAGAATTGTAAGATAAAAAGTCACAATTCTTTATTATATTTTTTATTCAATGGCGGAAACAAGCTTCCATAATAATCTTTGTGTTTACACAGCCTTTTTAAAAATGGGGGTTGCTGGTGTTTCGCTTGCGTTCAGCAAATCAGTGTACACCTTCGTCACTGATAGTTCCTATAATGCTGGTTTAGACCCTACCCTACTCTGAAGTAGGAGTTAAATTAATTCCTCCAAAAAGAGTTCCTAGAACTAAAATATTCCCTAGTTCCTGTGGTGCGAACACGCCAAAATCCGGGTACTTCCGCTTACGGGTAGGTTCCTCCGGTGCGAAAGCCCCTAGTACGTCTGGTACAGGAAAACCAGACCACTAAATCCAGTAACCACTTACTTGCCTCTGCCTAGACATGCTAACTCGCCCATTAACTTCCCTCTGCATATATATGTAGTCAAAGGCAAGTTAGGAACACAACCGTCTCTCAGTTTCCTGACCTGAATCCCTGGCAGGGGCCCGGCCCAGGTGGTATCGATGTACATCTGCGAGTTCAGCTGCACTGCTGGCAGCCAGGATAGCATGAAGACCACTGTCACGGGGCAAAGTAAAACTGCGGTGCTTGCTTCCTACTCCACCTCCTTCTTCTCCTCTTCCTACAGCTGTGAAGGACTTTTGGCTGGGTTGGGTGGGCGTAATGGGCGGGGCGTAGTGTTCTGGCGGCAGCCCGTGATGGGCAGGAAGCGTCGACTGGCGGCGGAGCTCGACGGGCACGATTCGGCTGGAATCGACGAAGACGGAATCGTCTAACGGCAGAGTCTGCAGGAAATGGAGGCCGGAGCTGGTGAGGGGAGTCTCGATGAGATCTTGCCATGAACGCCGCTGGCTGGAAGACTTTCGGCCCGGAGAGCTAGCGCTGCTTACGCTACCCCCATGTGTCTCGGATAGGGGGGAGCGGGACTGGATGGTCTCTGTGGAGGGTGGGCGGATGTGTTGGGACTCCTGGAATGGACTCACCTGTAACACAGTGGGTTAGACAATATGCAAGCACCTTTTAGTTGGTATATTAGAGATTGGAACAAGAAGCATACATCCAAATTGAAGGACCACTATAATAAGAGGGGCATTTATATCCCTGTTTTCCATTTTCAGTGCTGTCGTCTTTTACAAGCTCACTGCTGTCACCCTTAGTTATGCTCTGCCTGGATGGAACGGTCTGAGAGAGCAAAACACACGCACACACAATTCTCCTGTTTAGGATTAAACGACTGATGCGTCTCCTTCATTAAGATTACAGAGGGCTGGAGCCAGAGGACCTCCTTAAAAAAAGTGCCCTTTGACTATGAATTTACAGTGGCCACAATCACCCCTGGGGTTTAAATAATTAATGTGTCCTTCATGTCCACCCCTTCACACCTCATTCTTCATCCTGCTCTCCCTTCCTCTCTGCCCTTCTCTTGTCTTTCTGCATTGCATCACCTCATTTGTTTCCTTCAGTCTAAGTTCGATGGAGTACACTGCTGTTCAAAAGTTTGGGGACGGTACGTTTTTTTTGTAAGAAATGAATACTTTTATTCAGCAAAGATAGTGTGACCATATTTTACTTTTCAGAAAACAGGATGGGGGCGTGGTTTGGGGAGGCGTGGTTAAGGGTGGAGGCGTGGTTGAGGTGGTGAATGCACCAAAAAATACTTGACAAATGGATTCAGAATCTTGCTTTAATACATAAAGTAATACATCCATTCCATTCAACATTTGGCCCGCAACTATAGTAATATATAATAATATCTATTTTTTAAAAACAGTTTAGCTTTTTTTTTTTTCGCTGTTAGCTACTTACATCTCGCACTTGACCATAAAATGAAGCGTCGAGTCAGGCTGCTAAAGTTCTGTGAACATAAAGTCTGCCTACTTTGATTTGATTGGTCATTTCAAATATTCTGACATTGATGAGCAGTGACAGACCAATGAGGCTGAGATGAACACGATCACACACAGGCCTCTGTTTTCTGACGTGCTCTCTGCTTGGAGAGCCGCTGCGGATTGAGGAGCGCACTCATTATAACAAGACGGGGTGAAGCTGGTTTCATATGTTTTGTGTGCAAAGGCAAGCGTGAGTCAATTTAAAGTACACACTTAAAGGTACAATATGTAACAATTTTGTAATAAAATATCCAAAAATCACTTGCACAGTGTGATATATTTCCTGCAGTTGTGTACTTACAATATCCCAAAAGTCTCCAAAGATATTTTATTTCAGAGAAATTCCCATTTTAATTAAGTGCCTGTCGATGACGCAATATCTGCGCTATCCTCAGTTTCCGTTCATACTGCCATAGCCATGGCGTAACCATGGCGACAGACATGGACAATGGCATAGTGTGTAACGTTTAGTGGTACGCAGTTCTTGTTTCTTTCAAACATAGACCATGGCAAGCAGACTTTGGGACAAACAAGGAGAACTAAAATGAGGACATTCTAATGTTGATCTAGCTTACTGCTAGTTTCGTATTGCAAATGAACAAACTAACAGTAGTATAACATTATAACTTTCAACACACATTTAAATGCTGTTTAGTGTGATAATGTAACGTTAGACCAAGTGAAGCAGCGCTGCGTTACCTCGCAAGTTTAATTCGTCTAATAAACTGACCTGTGTGAGTAATCCAGCACTTGCTGATAGTTCGGTAGAATTAAATGTTAATTTAATTAAATGGGAAGCATTTTGCCTAAATTGCACTAATGCTAAATGATCTGCAGGGTATTTTGAGCTAAAACTTTACACAGACACATTCTGGGGACACCTGAGACTTAAATTACATCTTGTTAAAAGGGGCATAATAGGTCCCTTTAAAAAAAAATCTTACTGACCCCAAGATTTTGAATAGTGGTGTATGTGAGGAGCTGAATTACATGATTTTGCTTGGAACGAGGAGGTTTCGGAGAGTTCAATATATAACATAAGTGACATGAGAAACATGTTATTGGCCCATAATGCAATTACATTTCAGCAAGAATTAAACACAGTGTAAACACAGAAACCCAAGCAAAAAAAGAAAGACATGACTTACTGAGGTAGGGTGTGGATAAGTGTCATACGGAGGTGGAGGGCTGTCCTGGTTGGGTGTTGAGGGCATGTGATCGGCATCCTCATGGTCACTCTCACTCCAGTAGTCTGAGGAAATGACAGCAAATATCCATTAAACAAATGGGAAGGCCAATACTGAAATGTGAAGGCTGCAGAAAGCAGACAATAATCTTCATTTAAAGCCCCCCCTGTAGTGAAAAACAAGTTTGTAATGTTGTTTATACAGGTATGTCTTTCTGGTGTTTTTAATATACTGTCAGACAAGCCATGTACAAATTCATCAGTCAACACCATTGCTGAATATTTTATCCTTAAAACTGCGGTGTACCAATGAGAGACTAAAAATGAACAAACAAGTAAACAATCCCGTCAACATGCTATCATTCCTATCAAGCACTTTGGGCATTTTAATACAGTGAGCACAAAAACACCTTTAAATAAGGAACAGGAAAAATTTGGTACACATAGCAATATAGAAGGTGAATTATGAATATGATGTTTATTACGAGGTTATGATGAACTATATGCCTCCACTGACTTTCTATGATGTACAAAGCAATTTGAAGGAAGCTGTCTGACTCTGAGATGGTTAACATGAACATGGTTTGTGTAACATTAGCAACACATTAGCAGTTTGATAACATAGTCAAGCCAAATGCTAATGATATCAATTACCATTATGTGTCCGACATTGTAGAGAGCATACATAAAATACATTCTGATTTATTGACTTGTAGTCAACCCTGTAAATATGATCTTCTTCAGAATCAGTTACTGTTTTACCTTCTTGTGTAGCGTTTACTACAGTTACTACAGTGGAGGTGGGGACAAATATGAATATTCATGGATATGCGTATACTAAGTGAAGTAAGGGTGTAGAGTTACATTCAACATGCTTTAAGGCATGAAGAAATTATTTTCACTGAATTTCTTTTTTTTAAATATGTAATTTTGATCATTAAATCAAAATTACTGACTGTGGGGGGACTTTCGTCATGATTCTGCCTTCTTGTCTTTGATTTTCTCTAGTCGTGAGGCAGAATCATGACAGAATCATGTTTTGTGTGCAAGCGCATGGCCTGTTTGGGTTGGGTTGGCCTTGTGTTGTCTCGTTTCTTTACTCCGCCCCCTTGTTATCCTCGTCTCGTCATTATTGTCTAGTCAGTCTCACCTGTCCTCGTCATTAGTGTTCCCTATTTAATCCCCTTGTGTTTGCTGTCCTGTGTCGGTTCATTGCCAAATGTTATCCGTGCCAAGTTTGTGAGTACCTGTCAAGAGTATTTGTCCTGTTTATCCATTGCTCGTGTCAGTCGTTTACCTAGTAGAACCTTGTCTAGTCAGTCACCTTGTCAGAGTCTTGTTTTGCCCCCTCGTGGGCTTTGTTTTTCCCCTTTTTGTCTACAATAAACTATCTGTGATTGCACACCGTCTGCGCCTGGGTTCATCCGTCATCCACATCATAACAACTTTAAAAGATGTTTGCGTACATTTTCTAGTCATTGTAGCATTTATTCATGAAATTATAGTGTTATTGTATAAAATCACATTTATTCTGACGAATGATTAAAAATTACTTTCAATAAAAATGGCATTTCAATTTAAATGCTCTATACATGCATCCAACATGTTGTACTTCATATGCAAATCTTTATAGGACTTGCAGTCCAGACCGCACAAAGTCAGAGTGGGAGAATAATTGATCTGACAGGCTTAGCGGACCATGAAGGCATCTTCTCACCATGATCCTGTCGGATCCTTTTCTGCTCTGTGTGAGCTGTTGCCGCCATGTTCATCCGACTGAGCCACCTGTGAACAAACATAAAATAGTTACCTGGGGAGCTCTGAAATGCAGAGCTGAAAGGGTATTTTTGGGATGTTACTAAAATTAATAGCTTTGATCAGCTAACATTAAAATGAGATTCGGGAGCCTGTGCAAGAGAATTCATGAGGAATTGACAGTTTCAGATTACATTATGAGCCTTTTTTGTTTCTTATAGACATGTTTTCATCTTACCTATTCATATCATCCAAGTTTTCTGCAGCAAAGTAGAAGCTCTTGATTTTAGGATGGCAGGCCTTAAAAGCACTGAAAACATGTAAGAAAATTATGCAATCAAAACATGCTTGCTTTTCCAATAGGGGTGTTTCTCTTACGAGAGGTTAAAATCGACTTTAAAGGTAGTGAATGTGCCCACAACCGTAAGATATTACACAGTACTTCTCTTCTAGAGAGAACCGAGGTTACGTTAATAACCGAGTATGTTTTTTTAAGTAACGTAAACCACATTTAGAAAAACACTCAATGCCGTATTGTATGATAAACTGTCATCTCTAGTTTATAATACCACTCACAACTTTTTGCGACATTCGTTGGCTTGATCAATGTTGAACTCAGGCAGACTGACAAAGCCCTCTGCCTTTTCATCCTGAGAAAGAACAGAGAACAGTGAAATGAAAAACTGTTTATCTAAACAGTCTAATGGGCCATTTTGTTCTGTGGTACTGCATTATGCAGATGAATGGCCTTGTGTCCTCACATCTTCATTGGTGTACCAGTATAGGCAGGCTTCTTTCAGCACAACCCAGTACTTCTTCCATTTCTGAGAGAAGTAGCTCTTTGCATCCTTCTTCTTCCAGAGCCATCCCTCACAATCACCCTGACCCAAGTCTCGGCAGGAGATTCGCCGCTTACTAATGGAGGGCAGGGATCCAGCTGAGAAGGACAAAGAGAGAGTGAGAGAGATCAGAGATATCAACGTGGGCATTATAAATGAAAGGGTTGGCATGAATAGTATCAAAACAGTGACATTTTTGATGTAGGCAGAGAAACGTCTTGACAGAACAATTATACAGAGTGAGACTGTGTAATGAATGTGTGTAGAAAAAAAAATGACTGCCATGCAAAAATCCTTTTCTCAATCAGTATTTTTGTTTTTCGTTTCTGGTCAAATTATTTAAACATCCTTGAAAAAACAAATTACATTTAAATATATATTTTTTTTTTATCAACATATTGTATTATTAAATTATTAATAAAATAATCTATAAAAAATATTAAATAATATTAATAATAAACTGATAATAGTAAAAAAACAAACAAATTTATTCAAATTATTAACATTTCATATACATTTTAATAATTGTAAAATATTTAATTATTATTATTATTTTAATTATTTAAAAAAACTAATTGTTTATTTTTACCACCCAAATACTTTTAGATTTCTCGAGATTATCTGAAAGCTAAACCATACAGTAGACAATTTTTGAAGGATGATTAAATATCCATTTCTGGGAAAACAAGACAAATTTTTTTTGTCTGCTTAAAATTATTAAAATACTTTTGCAATGTGTCAATAACTACATGACAGGGTTTTAGAGCTAGTAGAATTTAACATCTCACCTCTTAACTTAACTTTCTTTGACCGGGAGAGCATGGACGATCGATCAAATGTCTGAAAGATAGTAAATAAATAAAAGATTTAAATCATTTTATGCTGTGTCCCTTATAATCTTGAATTACATTAAGTTGTCTTCAGAACACTCACAAGATAGACAGAAGAGGTTTCAGATGTGGGTGTGGCCAACGAGTCTTGCTGCAGCATGTCCATCTGGAGGGTGGGAACTAGAGTGTAGTGGGCGGGGCTTCCACCTTTCTCACTCTTTCTTCTACTACGCCGACTGCTTCGACGTCCTGTGTGGTACTCCTCTGTCCCTGCCTTGTCCTCACTCACATATCGCAGCAGGGAGTTTTCTGTCAATACATGTATGAGATTATGAAACCACAGTAAATAATTGGGACAAAGCACGTTTTCAATGCACTGTCAATGTGTTTTTTTAAATGTAATAGACCATATTTGATTCTGCCTTTTAAATAATGTAATGCTTAGAGTTGAAACCAAATTATTCAGAGGTCTCATGATCAAAGAATAGGGCTGAAAGGTGCAATGTTGAACATGTACAAATTTAATATAAATTCTGCCAGCATGACTAAAGAAAGCATTCTCTCTGCTCCTACTCCTTCAGCAACAGATCCTGGCCTCAACCAATGAGAAGCCAGAATCTTGGCAAGACCTCTATGTTGGAGTTACCATGGCAATGCAAAACCAAAAAAATCCCAAAATCTCAAGGCAAAAGCCAGCAAGATACTGGCAGACAGATCCCAGAATAAAAATAGGTACATAAATGGGAAACAGGACAATCTGAGTGGAATGGCTGAAGATTTTAAAAGGTCAGATCTAAAGTGGTGAAATTCTTGGTTTAGTATTACCTAAGTAAAAGAGATAAAAGTAAAAAACACACCCCCCTCACACACACACACCTCTTCTGATCTCTTTCTTCAGCTTGGCTGGATCTTCATAGTCTCCAACCCAGTTATATTCTACAGGCATGGAAATGGGCCTCAACCGTCCTAGTACACAAGCACAGAGAAATCAAAATGAAATCAAATTACTGCACAATACACATATTGGGCCAGGACTTGAAGTATAATGATTTATGGCCATTTTAATGTAATGTACTTCTGTGTTGCAGATATAACATCCCTTCTGAGTTCTGACTGACTGATCCCTCATCACCCTAGCAAGACCACAAACTTGAATCTGACTTAAAAAGAGACCAGCATGAAAAGACAACCTCTCCAGACACTGAAGCTAGCCTGTAAAGATCAAACATCATCATGTAAGAAAGCATGTACCATATGTGGGAGTGCTGTCCCTGCGTACGGGTGGAGGGCCCTGATTCTGATCATACTCGTAACAGTACAGGACCGCATCCTCATCCAACAGGGGGAATCGCCTCCGGCACTCCTGATCCAAGAAGGAATTGGGCGAATTAGAACCTTTAGCGGCCTGCTGGCAATTACTGGTCAGATTCCCCATTTCATCTCTGCAATGGTAAGAAAAAACTTGAGAAAAATGATTTCCAGGGCAAATTATCTTTGAAAACTGAGTGCAAAAAATTCAGCTTTGCCATCACAGGAATATATTACATTTTAAAATATATACGTTTTAAAATTATAATATTTCACAATATTATGTTTTAACTAGGGCTGTCAAATGATTAATCACATCCAAAATAAAAGTTTGTGTTTATATAATATATGTGGGTGCACTGTGTATAATTATTTTGTATATATATATATAAATACACACACATATATGTATATTTAAGAAAAAAATATTATTTATATATAAAATATTTATATATAATATCAATTATATATACATGAAAATATTTCTTAAATATATGTGTGTGTATATTTTATTGTAATATTTATTTTGGATGTGATTATTCGTGATTAATCATTTCACAGCCTTAGTTTGAACTGTTTTTTTCTGCATCAGAGACGTCTTTCAAAAATATTAAAACATTACCATCTCAAAACTTTTGAACTCTCTTTGAACAAAGTGCACGGTTTGAGGTGTTTCATACATATGCATACATATTTACAGTCTGGATCAGTGTACTTGTCTGTCCTCTTGTTGTAGAGATTGTCATTTTTGTCTGTGTGTGTGTGTCTGTGTCTGTGATACTGTACCTGGGTGAATACGGCTCGTCAGGGGGAGGGGGGATGTAGAGGTCCTGTAGAGCGCAGCTGTCCCGTCTGGATGGGGTGCTGATGGTGCTGGATGGTGTGGCCACACTGCTGCTGGGGCTCGGGGGGATGATGGGCTAAAAACAGTGGTGCCGTTAGCTTTAGCATTTACAACATCCCTTTGTAAAGTTGTTCAAATACTTTTAGCAGATTTTCAGTTGTCGATATAATGAGTGCTTGTTATTTTACTGCAGGTAAAGAAACGCATCATAAATAAGTCTACAAACGTCCTCTCTATTCACATGCGAACTACCGTTCAAAATTATGGGGTTGTTAAGATTATATAATGTTTTTCAAAGAAAGGCTGCATTATGTTTGATCAAAAACAGCTATATTGTCAAATATTATTACAATTTAAAAATAATTAGTTCCTATTGTAATACGTTTTAAAATGCAATTTATTCAGTGTCACATGATCCATCAGAAATCATCTTTTAAGAAACTGATACACTTTTTTCAGGATACTTTAAAGAATAAAAAGTTCAAAAGAACAGCATTTATTTGGAATAGAAACTTTCTGTAACATTATAAATCACTTTTGATCATTTACTGGAAAAAGTATTCATTGACCCCAAACGTTTAGTGTACATCATCACCAAGATGTCTTTTCCATGTTTTTGTGACAAATATTTAGAATGCATATGAATCCAACCCCTTTATCAGATTTCTGTAAACAAAAATGATGCCCAAAATAGAATGTAAAGCTTTCCAGGTCATACATTTTGACAGAGCTACATCTCTGCAACAGGTGAGTCCTTAGATACAGCAGTTATGAAATTACAAAAATGGTGATATTTTATTATTTCATGAAAATATCAAGGGTTACCATACAAAAACTACTGATTTAACAACATTTTCATCACCACAAATTAAATGACAACTACTAAAGGAAATGCAATAAAATTAAAAGTCAACAAAAATGATAAATAATTTTACCAGACATCAAACACTCATCCTAAAGGCAGAATAACCTGACCTGTGTGTCTTTGTGGAAGAAGACATGCGAAAAAAAAATAGTAATATCCATCTCATTTGAGTCGAGTGTGTGTCTGTTTCCTCCAACGTTTATGTATTTAAAAGCGGCTGTGTAAATAAAATGGCGTCTCAATGTCTTCAACTGTTGTCATGACAATCAGTGTGTCTTGATAACTGTCAGCTGTGCAATAGAAACGGCAAAGACAAAATGAATACGTGCAATTTATACACTGCACAGTCAAGCGTCAAAAACGACATTCCACATTTTCCTCTCAGGCCACAGTAAAGCATCCTGATGCACAGGGGCTTCGGTGAAGCTGGAGAGGAGATTGTGGAAAGAGGGATAAGCAGCAGATTAGAGGTAAAAAAGATGAAAGAGGGAAAAAAAAGGAAGGTTAGTGGGTGGGTGGGGGTAGAGTGGAGTGAAGATTTGCCATGCAATCGCAATCTAGTTGGTCAAAGCCCTAAGGGAGGGGAAGAGTGCTCTTAATGCTGCTAAAAAAAGAACATGCACAGATTGGGGGACTATGCCACAGCATATCATCAATTCACACACACCACTTAATCCTCATACCGCACACATCCCGTCAGTACCTGCAGGGCGAGGGGCTTCCATCTCATGTTCTTGAGTAAGGCTGGGGCTGACGTGAGAGTGCTCTGAGGTCGTTTCTTCAGCGTGAGGGTCACCCCTGCGGGATTGCTGCGTAAAGAGTTGACCAGGTTCTTCAGCTGCCAGCCCACCTACGCAAGTTCAACACACGTGTTGACCTCACCACAAGAGAGTCAGATAACATTCCAGGACACACAAGCATCTTGTGCAGTGTTGGGAGTAACGCATTACAAAAGTAATACATTACAGTAACATATTACTTTTTGCTGTAACGCAGTAGTGTAAGGCATTACTAATCAATTTTCAGTAATATTTTATTCGTTACATGTTCAGTGAGGCTTGTATTACAGTTGTATTACAGTGTATTGTCTGCTTTTACTTCTTAAAGGCAACAGACTGTGTGAAAGTTTTAAAGCAGTCTTTTAGTGCCAATTCAGAGCGGTCGCGTTTGTAACATTGTTTTTTCCTCATAAATGCGAACACGAAAACTAAAATAAAATGAATATTTTAAGTTCTATGGAGACTGCAGAGCCAACCCTTCCTCATCCGATTTGCGCCATGTAATTAACAGAATTACAAAAATATATATTTTGCCTCCTATTTTTTTGTCACACATGAATGTGTGTCTTTTCCCTAATATTAAAAATAAAAAATAGACTGATATTTGTCTAATGTCTGGAGTCCTTTAAGGAAGTAGCCTATATACGTTTCAATACATGTATTTTCTGAGAATTTTTATTTCACGTTTTGACTGCAAATGTCATGTCCATAATGCTGGACTTCCCCAATTTTAAATAATTTATCCTCAACTAGTTTTGTGGTGTAGGTCTACGTATTTTATAATGTTAACTTCAAATAATACTAATAGACTAATTTAAAGATAAGGCAGCATTGGATCTGGACGGTAAGGAGAATAACGCTGGAGTTGGAAGAGGTGTGTTGCGATTCTGTAGGTTCGTGGATCTGAGTTGTGTGGTGAAACGCGATTTCGGTTTCATATTGCATATCGTTACAGCCCCAAAGTTAAGTTCTACTTAGTTATTTTGGTGAAAGTAACTCAAAAGTAATACATGAGTAATGTAACGCATTACAATTCTGAGACAGTAATATTGTAAGGTAATGAATTACTTTTAAATAATAGTAACAAGTAATACCTAATGTATTACAGTTTGGAAGTAACTTGCACAACACTGATCTTGTGTAGTCTTGTTAACGGGGGTCATTCTTCATGTCATTTTGGATAAATAATTAAACATTTTTTAAAGATGGAAAACTATACACTACCATTCAAAAGTCTCTGATGCTCACAAAGGCTGTGTGAAATATTACAACAATTTAAAATAACGGCTATGTTATTGTATTTTTTATAATGTAACTTATTTCTGTGATGCAACGCTGAATTTTCAGCAGTCATTATTCCAGTCTTCAGTGTCACATGACCCTTTAGAAATCATTCAAATATGCGGTTGAAAAAAGTAAAGTTGAAAAAACAGCATTTATTTTAAATAGTATTTTTTGCAACATAAATGTCTTTACCGTCACTTTTGATCAATTTAATGTGCCCTTGTTGAATCAAAGTATTAATTTATGTAAAAAAAAACATACTGACCCTGACCCTTGAACGGCAGTGTATTTCTTAACATGAAACTATTTTTTTTTAAGTTTTTCTTAATTTTTCTCAAAAGATTTCAAACAAAGCATGTTTCATTTAAATAATATATTAATTTTAACTTTTTATATTCAGTTTTAAATAAGCAATGACTAATATCATTTATTCAATAATTTTTTTTATCTTGTTGTGCAATAATAAGGCTACAGTTACAGAAGGCTACAGAAAAAAAATTCTTCATTAGGAAGAGTAATGAAAAGGAATGATCTAGTCATGTTAGCAGGTAAAAGGTAAAATGATTGTGTATAATAGAAACGCTCACCACTGTCTGATGATTGACCTGTATGACCTCATCACCAGCATGGATTTTCTTACAGCGGTCAGCCGGTGACTGGAAGAGGAAAAGGGACAGAGCAAAAGCCATTGGATTCAACACAAGTTTAGAAGATTACATGTACAACAAATTGTCCAAGCATGTCATACTGAGATGAAATGTTGTACTGAAATATTGAAAATGACCACTCACTCCCTCTGTAGTGCCTGTGATGACATGTAGGCCATCATAGGTTGATTTGATGTACATGCCCTAGGGCAAGGAGAAAGTCACTTTAGAGCCATTGCCTGAAAATATCGGACACACACTGAGAAAACACTGAAAGTAGCTTGCTGACATGATATGCAAGCACAAATCCACTCTGACACAGTCTCATAAAGGAGAGATATAGTGGGAGAGAGAGGGTGTGTGTGAATGTTTATTTTTATCTTTCTCTATTCAGGCTTTATTGAGCGGATACTGAAAGTGTCTATATGTATCTGTGAAATATTACTGCCTGAAGCTCACACAAACACAACTACCAACATGTATACCATCATTAAGGAAGGATGGGGTGAACGTGGCTTCAAATGCTGCTAAATACTCAATTTTAACGATCTGAAATGCAAGTATGAAACGCAAGTAACTTTGTGGGCAGATCTTGCAAATCTAAAAGGGGTTGGTCTGAACTGAAGTAGCTATATTACTCATAGGTGTGGTTTGGGTGTAACATGCAATAAACCAATTGACCTATGGCTAAGCCACGCCCCCTCCAATCTCTCGAACAAACAGTCAACATTCGGGCACGGGCGCTATGGCAGCTGTCACAGTAGGAGACATTTCACAGGAGGTAATTGGTGATTTTTGGAGACAGAAAGATTACATATTATCTTGAAGTCACCTAAAGGGCCTTAACTATGCATTGGAGGGTTATATTAAAGTCCCCGTGAATCGGAAGTTGCAAACGACTTTTCTCCAGTGTTGTGACGTATTTCCGAGAGAAACGGAATACTTAATGAGGCAAAATAGTGGGCGTGGCTTTTTTTCCCAACTAGCACCTGATTGGATCTAGAAAAATGGCTGTTTCATTCTGAAATGGAGGATGACGCAAGTTTACACATGCTGTCAATCAATGCTCGCTCGGCGCTCGCAAACACACAGCAGCTGTCATTTGGAGGGGCGCGGTTATGGATGTTAAGGAGACACCCAAACCGTAAAGCCTACGTCATCGGGCAAGGTCCTCCAATGCAGAGGGGAGGGGCATTTTCAAAATTTGATTAAAGATTACGACGCCAAAACATTTTTTTGTGTGGATTGACTTGCATGTATGAATTGTTCACCACAAAACGATCAATTTAGGCAAACATAAGTAAGTATGGTCAATTTTGATTTCATAGGGACTTTAATAATTTTACAGTTGAGAAGGTCGATGAAAAGCTCCAGGCAAAAATGCACAGGTCACAGTGTAAATGTGATAAACCGCATATCATTGCCATCATTGTTTGGCGCTACAGTATTTACATGAATCATTCAGCACAACATTGTTAACATTTAGTATCTCGGTTATTTACAGATATACGTTAATGAAGCTAAGTGACATAATGTACAACACAGCTAGAAGCTAACGTTAATGTTTTCTAATGTACGTCTAATGTTCTATCCATCCATCCATCCATCCATCCGTCCGTCTCTGTCCGTCCATCCATCCATAATGTAAAAAGATCATCCGTTATGAATACTTGAAATGTACTGTTCTGAATTTATGCATTAAATTTGTAATATTTGGTTATTATTAACCATTTAAAGGGCTTTTGATTTGAAAATGCTGTTATTAAAAAACAACATCCTAGTTGGAAACCTCCTGAATTTTGTGCATAAGACGAAATAAGAAGTAAGGTATCCAGATACCCACCAGTCCCTCGGTGGATCTTATGTTGTCCAGCTGCACCACTTCCAGATGGGCGGCCTGGGACACCATGGGGTCCGAAGAGAGGGAGATGATGTGGTCACACACACCAGAAAGTGTCTTACACTGAGGACAGAGAGAATCATTGACGAAGAGAGGCTCAGAACAAGTATTCTAACTGAAGCTGCTCCTGGGCTACAATATGCTGATCATTTCGTTGCATGTTCACTGCACAGCTTCATAAACACCATCTGCACTGAGATCGAGAGTCACCAAGATGCACTGATTTATGAAGTAATCATGTGACCAGGATGCTCTCAAAAATATAATTCTCCATGATCATGCTGGTTTCTTTAAATTGATTCATGCAATCATGATTTTCCCTCAATTTGCTGCTAGTGACTATTCAGTAAAGGTGTTCCTGGTGTTGTAAACGCAAACTCTCTTTCTCTCACTGTCACTCTCAGATGAAATGTGGCCTGGCCTGGTATTTATAGCAGAGCCAGCTGTACCCTGACTGACACTACAGCATGGGCTAGACTGCATGAATCAAATGTGAATATATTTCTCTCTCACTCACCTCACACATACTCTCGCTCTTTTTTTTTTCTCTCACTTCGACACAGATTTCTATTTTTGAACGGAGGAGCTAGATAAGGAGCTTTATGTAAATTAATCAAGAGGTTGTGTGAGAATATAAATGTCACTCTTACCACATGCAGTATCTTATTTTCTGTCTCATACACTGTGCCATCCTAAAACACAAGAAAAGAAAAATACATTGTGACAAATTACATTCTAATATCATCACACTTACAACCTTATAACTGAAGTACTACATCACTCTAAAAAATTCTTGGTTGTTTTAACCCAATTTTGGGTAAAATATGGACAAAACCAGCCATTGGGTTAAAAATGTGATTTAAAAAATGTAACCCAATGGCTGGGTTTATCCATATTTTACCCAAAATTGGGTTAAAACAACCCAGCATTTTTCAGAGTGTGTGATTGAAACTGCATAGTACATTTGATTTATAACACAAAAATGTTATAATCAGTATTTTAATTTTTCAGCAAAAAAAAAAAAAAAGATTTAAGCATACTATGTTCTTATATTTTCTTAGAATTTTATATTTTAAAATAGTATATTTTTATATTTACACTATTTAATATTAAGAATATAAATTAATAATGGTTTAGGTTTTGTTTTTCTCTGCCCACTGCAAAATGTACTTGCTTTAAACGTAATGGTCACAAAATCTAGTTTGATTTATGCTTAAAAAACAAAGAACAACAACAACAAACTTAATCTTACGTATTTCTTCTTTTTATATATTTTCCTGGAAAACAAAGATACTAATATACTTTTTTCTGTAGTGTTATATAATGCTAAATGCTTATATAATGCTTTATAGTTGTGCATGTGCATTCATGTCATGAAACTTTGATTAATATATATTCAATGGTGAATCATCAGAAGTATTACATAATATTTGCTAATGACATATCAACAAAAGTTATAAAATGCTTCCCAGTTATGTGATCCGAACACATTTGATTTCTGCTCTGGGTAAACAGAGTTTTGGGATGTCTCATATGAGGAGCTGAGCTTTGCTTGTAAAACAAAATAAGAAAAGATGCTTGCTGGCACGGAGACCTGCACCTATCTGAAATAGTTCTCTGTCTTGAGCAGACAGCTGAGGAGGAGATGAGTCATCCTCCCACACCGAACCTGGTGCAACACTTTTCCTATTCCTCCTCTCATCTGCTCATTTCCTCCGCTCTGCTTAATGGTAGTCTGATTTCCAGCCCGTGGGTGAAGGAGCTTGGGGATCTCGACAGGCCACACTCATGATTAATCTTAAACATATTGGGAATCTCCTTCAACACTCAACCTACACATCACAGCCTGATTCAAAGGAGAGTAAATAAAGATTGAGCTAATACACATTAGCGTATAATTAAGAGAGAAGGACAACTTTATATAAAGTTTGAATGCATGAAAGGCCCTTTGGAGCGTGGTATTTTTTCCTTCACAGGACATATCATAAAAAGTAAATTCTACAGGTCTTCATACATGTTCTGGGACACATCGCTTTTCTCCCATCTGGGACAGTCTGTGCTCGCCCGCAGTGGCCCATGCCAGAGCAGCACTATTTCAATCCAGGACAGAAAATTTAGAAGGAGAAAAAAATGTCCATGGCCTCCTTCTAAAGAACCTTCTGCCCTAGAAACTTCACCCTGCTTTTCATGCATCCTCGAAAAAGAGATTTAGTCCTAAAGTATGGCTTGACACTGGTGAGGGTGAAACAGAAGATAGACTCTAGGTCAAAAGAGACTTCTTAACCTTGCATGTATACAGGATTTAAAGGGACAGTTCACTCAAAAAAGAATATCCTGTCATCATTTAAATAAAAATGCACAAATACATGCCAAAGTAAACTTGTTTATAAAAGAATACATATATATAATCTTATCTATTGTTTATTTTATCTACATTTACTTTTATGATGCTTTTTGGAGCTTGAAAAATCTTTTGGATTTTGAATGAAGGGAGTTAATAAATTACAAAAATGTTCATTTTGGAGAAAACTATCCCTGAAAAGAAGATGAAGGTGATGTGTTAATGTTATAATTGAGTGTTTCAGTCCATACCTGCTGAACTATTGTGGTCAGCTCCAGACACAGCTGAATCACATTATTCCTGGTCATGGAGTAGTCTGCTACGGCAGCGAACGGAGACCTGATGAAGAAATAACACCTGCCATTAACCATTAGATCACTTCTAATCACAACCATTTATTATGTCTAACCTTCCTCACTGTCGCTGCACTGCCAAAGCCGAACTGAGTCTAATTCAGGCAATGGTGGACATTCATGATGAGGAATGAGAGCTAAAAGGAGGTGAACCAAGTAGCATGTGGAGAGGGAGGGAGATGAAGAGTAACAAAAACAGAGAGAGACAGATAGACAGCGCTGAAAGCGAGAGGAGAGAGAGGATTTTTCGCTCCAATGCACTAATTCACAGAGGCTCTGGCAGCCCCATCACACAGACTGCAAAGATCACTGTCTTTCCATCCTTAATTTAGACCATTCTGCTCTCTTCTGTGACTGTGGCCATAATGAATACATTTCGGTTTGATTTTGTTAATATGCTAGAAGCATATTATATTAGTACAGCATACATATTTTTGCTAAATATGAAAGGTACAGTATGTATATAATTATATTATAGAATAGACTAGGATCAACAGTAAGAAACAATAAGGGCTGCCCTGGTCTGAGTAGTTCAGATTTTTACTTGCCATGCCAAAATTTTCATGGGCCCCATTTTATTTTCAATTTTTTACTATTTTAGTAATATTTAGTAATAACACACTTCTGTTCAAAAGTTTGGGTCAGTTGTTTTACATACTTTTCAATTCATTTATTGAACAAAGACAATACATTGAACATGTTAAAAGGGATTTCTATATCAAATAAATGTTGTTCTTTTGAACTTTCCATTCATTAAAGAATACTGAAAAACATGGATCACATTTCCCACAAAAATATTATTTTTTTTCCATTAATAATAATAATAAATCTTTCTTGAGCATCAAATCAGCATATTAGAATGATTTTTGAAGTATCATGTGACTGAAGGCTGGCGTAATGATGCTGAAAATATTTCACAATATTGCAGTTTTTACTGATTAAATAAATGAAGCCTTGGTGAGTGCAAGAAAATCTTATCAAACCCAAACTTGTGAACAGTGTATGTTTGGTTTTGTTTGGAAATGTTTGGTTTTCTTTACAGAAAAAAAGCCTTTAAAATACAAAAAAACAAACAAATAAATACGGTTTTAAATTGACAAAATTAGTTATAAATTCGTAAAAGCACAACTTCATGATGCATTTTTACTACTTACTGGTGCGTGCATCACTAGCCATTTTGATAAAACCTATGTAAACTAGCAAGATGAAGCAGAGAGAATTTTATGAATTGTATCATAAAAACCCATATACATTATCATCTTTGTCATTTTCAGTCATGTCCTGCTTACAGTTTCAGTCAACTTTATTCGTTCCAGGTCCGTTCACAAGAAACGTGTACGTGAACACTTCATATATCGGATACCAGCAATGCATTGCAGTGTGAAAGACCCAAGACACGATCAACTAGTCGACTAGATGGTATAAACCTTAACCCAGAAAATCCTCTCTATAGAAGAAAGTACAAGGGCACCATTTATCTTAATGAGTGCACTGAGCCGCATATCTGACTCCAGGGTTCATATCTTACACTGAATAATAAGACTGTAACATGCGAATATGATCACCCAGGACAACACTCTTGCTGTCATCCTGTCTGGGGAGAATAAATGAGGGAGACCTGGAGGCCAGGAATAATCTAGGGAGAGGCAGCAGCAGATTAATTGCACTCACAAATTATGAATGTGCGGGAGACTTGGCGAACTGCACTAACGAGGAGGCGTGGCCAACGAGAGCTTTAGCTGATGAAGGAATAAATGCAAACTCACAAAAACATGACCTTGTGCACACACACACTTGAGAGACAAACAGAAGTGCTTAGCAGACACGCTGGCCACTTTCAGGGCCAGCTCTTCCAAAACAGAAGAGACTTACGTAAGCTTTTTACTCATCTTTTGTTTGTCAGCTGATTGCTCATGGGTGTTACATAAGGAAATCGGCACGATCGTGTCATCTGTGGCCTCTCGCATGACCTCACTGATGAGTTTGAACAATGAAGCCTTTTACCCGAGATGAGCGTGTCATGTGACCGTACGCATGGTAGATGAAAGAGCAGGATTACTGAGGCTGCTTTCATTGAATTTGAGTTTGCTTGAGTTTGGACACTTTAAATGTATTCATTTCATTGCCTTTACAAAATATCAATACATGTGGCATCTGCAAACCAATTTATCCCAACTAACTTCATTTCAGAATATCTATTGTTTTATCCTCAACAAAGTATTTTTATGTGCACACAGATGTGCTTGAACCTTTAAATGCAAAACAATCTATCTTTAAATTGCAAAAAACATCCATACATTTTTAAGTCAACTAAAGTGTCCAACAGTGTTATTTTAGTATTATTTATAATTAACGACATTTTGATTTAGCTTTTATTTCCATATTTTCACTTTTCAATTTTAGTGGTTCAAGTAATTCTGTTATGGCCTGTATGCATATCTGTGTTGAGTGTGGGCTGTGTTTGCACCTCTTTGCAGGACTAACCTATCCAACCAAGCCAGCAGGCTCTTGGCGGCAGCGATGAGGTCCACTACAGAGGTCAGAAAGTCATTGGGAAGTTTTCGGGTGGCTCTGCCGTCATAGTGACCGCCCCTCCGTCGGCCTGTTATGAAGTTCTGCAGGTTCTTGGCTGATGCGTTCAACTTATGGGTCAGAGTCTTCAGGTTCTCTGTCTCTAGTCCATAATTCTGAATAAGAAAGAGCAAAGGAATAAGATCACAACTTCCAAGAAAGAACTAAAGAAACTTTATGTGAGCATGGCTAAACTACAACGATAAAAAGGCATGTCCTATAAATAAACTTTTTTTTTATTTTCACTTATGCTCCAGCTTCTGTACTGTAGCTTATTCTTGAAACTGCAATGTGGTACTTTATATATTATTGGCTCTTGTGTGACAAATTGCTTGTGATGTTCCACATTTGTAAGTTGCTTTGGATAAAAGCATCTGCTAAACGATTAAATATGGATGTAAATGTAAATGAAACGGGGGAAGGTAAAGGCAAGGTCATGGGCACTCTGTGATGCAGTACAAGTTCACTGGGAAAAAAAGTAGCTTGAGTGGTTTTAAATAATGGAGGAAATCAAATGGAGAAGGAGAAAAGGGTCCCTTAAAGGTATACAACCCACGCAACATTAACGTGAACTTAACATCATAGTTCAAGTGAAACTTATAAAACTTATATTCATATAAAAATATTTGAATACATCGATTTACGATGCGATCAATACGATTTTTTAAAATCTTTTTGAAAGAAGTCTCTTATGCACACCAAAATTGAATTCATTCAACCTAAAATACAGTAGAAACAGTAATATTGTGAAAAATAATTACAATTTGAAATAACTGTATTCTATGTTAATATTTAAAATAAAAATGCATTTGAGTACTTTATTCCTGTGATGGCAATGCTGAATTTTCACCATCTTTCCTCCAGTCTTCAGTGTCACATGATCCCGCAAAAAACATCCTAATATGCGGCTCAAGAAAACAATTCTTATTATCAATGTTATTATTAATAAAACTTTGTGCTGCTTAATTTTTTGGTGGAAACTGTGATGCATTTTTCCTTTTTTTTATAAATACAAAGTTCAAAAGAACAGCATTTATTTGAAATGTAAATATTTTGTAACATTATGAATGTCTTTACTGTCACTTTTGATCAATTAAAATGTATCCTTACTGATTAGAAGTACTAATTTCTTTCAAAATCTTACAGAACCCAAACATTTGAACGGTAGTGTTTATATGTCATTGCATGTCTCCATTGATTTATATTTATTTTTTATCAACATTTACTCGTCAAGAGTTTTGTTTGGAACGCTGAATTTCTCCATCAGTGGAGAAACAGATGAAATCTGATGGACAGGTTAATTACAAATGTTATGAGGTCGTACAGAGCATCTTTTTTATCAAAATGCTAAATTTTTCTAGCTATAACTGGGAGGGTGAGCGTCCAAATCCCTCTACCTGATACCCCCTTACGGCCTATACTCCATGACAACACATACAGTAGAACGGATCTCCCAGAATGCCTTGCTGCACACAAAAGCCAGTGGGGATCTGTCATGCAATGGAACCAGCATGAGGGACAGATGAATAATCATATTTAATGCAGCAGGGCTCCATGTTGGACAAACCCCGAGAAGCATTACATAAGAAGCTTTCAGGGACTAGCTGGGCTTAAGCACATGACATAACAAATGGTGGGAACAAATAAGAAGAATACAGGGGGCCAGTTTGGCTAATATACCCCCATTCACCCTCCTTTTTCTGCCCTCTTCCATCATCCGCTCAGGACTGCTGTGTTCCTTCTCTCACACTTTTCTTCGCTCTCTCCCAGAGCCTTTCTCTCCTGTTTTAATTTGTTTTCCTTCTCTCACCCGAATGCTGCAGAGTTTTCTACCCACTCAGCCCTCACAATCTTTCAGTCGCTCCTCCTCTCTTTCCCTCCTCCTGCAATAAGCGTCCTTATTTCTCTTGAACCCCATCAGAACAGCCTGGAAATTGTGTGCAAGGATGACAGTGGCGAATGGAGGGATTTTCAAGGATTTAAAGTGTTTGTTTTGGCTATTATAAATTGCACAGGATGCAATTACCATAAACATAGAGGCAGCATGGGAAAAACAGGGTGAGGTGCATCAGGAATAAAAATAATGTAGTGGTTGAGTGATTTGGGTATTTTAATGGTTAATATCTACAATAGGGGTTTTCAAGCTTTTTGATGACACGGACCCCCAAATATGATGATCCTCTGTGCCTTGCTAAATGTATCTCTTGATACATGTAGTGCTTAATTATGCTTATCCACATGCTATTTGTCTTCATTTTGACATGTCAAAAATATATAGTGTTAAAAATTTAAATATTATTAATCTGTGTAAATATTAAAAATATTTAGAAAAATATATTTACTTTTTCTACCCACCATCAGGATACTTTTAGAAGTATAAACCTGAAGAAAAACATTAAACTATGGCTGCGGATAGAAAATAAAATTCCTCTCATGATTGCTGACCAGTCTTTAGAAAGCCGAATGAAAAAGTAATAATATGAAATTCTCTATATTTGAACCTTTTATAAATTTTTTTTTGCTTTTTAATCTATTTTAAAAATTTCACATAAAAAAATGTCCTTTTTTCAAAACTCCTGATCTATTGAACAGGGTGGATGTAATAAATGTATATAATACAGCTTACATAACAGATTTACTAACAGCTTGAGCCAGAGCAAACCCTCCTTAGGCATTAAAAAAAACCACTGTCAGGATTTAGACAAGCAGTGAAAAATTAGCACTGAAAAGGCGCGGATAGGGTTATTTTTTGCGGCTGATCTTATTGCATATGTATTTGTATGAGTTTCTTTTTCAGATGCAAAATGTATGGAAGGAGAGTATTTAAATGATTCATGCAAGGTGATTTACTACGGTTTGCACTGGTCAATTTACTGGTATTTGTACCATTTATGTGTGCCATTATTTACAGCCCAAAAAAATCATGTCTTAAACCAGACGCTTTTTGGAAATACGCTCTCATCCTAATCTGTCCTGTTTAGTAAATCTGGCCCTAAATCATGGAATATAACATAGCTGGAACAATGTATTCACCAATCTGCACCAAAAACCATAACTTCGCATCTTGTAATTGCTATTATGCCATTTCAGTTATGTTATAACACCAGCATAAAGCGAAACATAATGCAATAAAACTAACTTACTCTGTAAAGCAGACACAATTTGTGTTTGTTGACAACACAATTCACCTGTGTTTGTGTGTTTGCGTATGTGCTCACCAGCGCACAAAGCAGGTCCACAGCCTCCAGAATAAGTTCCTGGTGGCCGATTCGAGAAACACCCAGATCTTCGAGCTCCTGATGTGTGATTCTCAACAGCTGTTCGCCGCCCACCTTCTCCTGCTCAAAGTTCTTGATGTACTGCTGCAGACAGTCATCCAAGCCTTGAAAAGAGCAACAAACAGCAAGATGAAGACATCATTAATCCTGGGACCTATTTAGTACAATTTGCTTAGTTTAATCATAATCTGATTAAATGACTATAACAGAGATTATAAGCAACTAGTCTCAAATATATCTCCCAGCATGAGAGTGTGGGAGCCGATTGCGTGTTTACATGGTTACCGTCAATGTGTACCGCACACATACATATCCTCTATAGGACAGTAGTGAGGGATTGTGAACATTTTGGCACACAGCTGTTTAAACAGACTTTATTTTGTGGACCGATCCAGGCACACAACTTTGAAATGCTTTGCTGTCATGAACAGACGTCAGCGGACTTCAAGCACTGTTGTCACTAATAAGAGAAGACCTGTTTGGCGAGCGCTAGCTGTTGTCTAGGAAACACATGCCTCCCCCGTGCCCCCTACCCTTCAACTATACTGATCCTTCACTATTGTTTTCCTCTCCCACAGATTCACACAAAATACATCATATATTTATAGAAGAGAGACAGAAATTATTTCACATGTTCAGCTGAACCAGAAGCATTGTGTTGTTTTGAGATTATTTAAGTACAAGTACAAGGTACGTTTGTGCTAATATATTGTACAATCTCTCTCTAACCATTCTCAGGGTTCCAGACTACAAATAAAATGGCCTCAAATGAGATCAAATAATTGTGAAAATGACATTTTTGCGTATCATCTTGTGAGTTGGCATTTGTTATCAGCGTGCATTGACAATTCAACAATAACAAACACAATGTCTGATTCACGGACAAAAGACAAGTTTTTGAATCAGTTTTTTTTTTAATGAGTCTGGCAAAAAGATTCACGAAAAAGCTTTAAATTTGCTCACAAGTTAGCGGTTTAAATCAGATTAGTTTAGTAAGTTGTATTGGGTTCACAACCAACTTCCACACTGAACTGTTATATAAAACTTATAATAAATTAATAAATGGTATTTTTAAAAATAAATACACTATTTTACAAAACCATTCTCAGAGCTCAGTTGGGACTGCAAAAAAAATGTCAAATGCTAAAGAAAAAAAAAAGCATCAACACGCATTTTTTTGTAAATTAAATTAAATGCAAATTTTCATTTCATGTAAATTAAAGAGAAAAAAAAAAACAGTGTGAGCCTTGATGTCCGATTCACAAAAAGACTCGCAATTAATCAGTTTAAATATATATTCACAATAATATATTCAGATTCACTCAGTGAATACTTCAGAGCCATACTGGATTCACACTGACTTCCTTACTGAACCGAGTTGTAATTTAAAATGCAAAACATATAATAAATAAAAAAATATTATTGATAATTTGGGAACTAAAATGTAATTTGTCTCCTACATTTAAAAAAAATTCTTTAATTTCAGATTTTTATTCTCACTGTGTAGTTTTTACTTTTTGTAACTCCTTCATATGTATGTATGTGATTATTCACATAGATGCTCTGCAACAAACAGCACCTTTACCTCAGCATTTATTACCATGTTCACTTCCAGCTCCCTCCTTCTGTCCTCAGCACTATTCATTTCCTCTCCACCTCCCATAAATTCCCACACAGACTTCTCCGCCACGAGGTTTCATTATCTGTATGCTCATTTCACAACAAAAGACGAGGATGCAGAGCATGTAAAATGTCCCTTTCATCAAACCCTGATATTCATCTCTCTGCTGCATACATCTAATGGACCGTGAGGAGAAAGTTCAGACACCGGCACGGTTCAAAACTGCTGAAAGCGAGCGTTTCACGGCTTTGCATGCGATTTGAGGGCTTAACAAATCCGCTTCTTAGCCAGGCTGATCTAAACCCGTTCCAAATGAAGGAATCATCACGTTTGTCGCTGTAAGTTGCTATAGAGACGGCATAGGGACGCAAGGAGCGCTTGAGTAGGACCTCATTACCAAGACAAAACTGGAAGTGAAATGAGAAGCTTATATGCGAGTAGTTTGAATAGACATAAATAAATAAAGAAACATCTAATACTTATTCAGAGATTTTCGCTTTTGTGTGGCGTTTGCATTGTAATGCTATAGAAATATTATTATTAAGACTCCAAATGGTTTTACCAGTGTCATAGATGACAGATTCATAACAGAAACAAGTGGGGAAAGACAAACCATTTTTTTTTTTTCAATCATTAGAAATAGCAACATGAAAGTCTTTTTTTTTTTTTTTTTTGCTTTGTTTACCTATTCCCAGTAGTGAGTGTTGCTTTTCTGTGGCTGAGTGAGACAGGCCAGCTCACACAGTGCCAGTGTACACAAACAGTAAACTCATTGATTAGGAGGACATTAATCTGCTGTTAATTGCAGCCGTTGTGGCTAAACACTACAAAGAAGAGCGCCGCATGTTCATCTGGGACCATTAATCTCTGTCAAGCGAGGCGGGTGGTTGGCCAACAGTTAGAACCGAAGAAGATGAAGCAAGAGGGTGAGAGTGTAAATAGGTTATGGAGTGAGTAAGTAATGAGAGAAAGTTGTACCGAAGAAGAAAATCTGATTGTAGCTTTACAGTATGTTGCTTAGAAGCTGGTCCAATTCAATCATGACCTGAAAACCTCTGAACTGTCCTGAATCCATGATTTAGCAAACAGTGCGGCCCAGAACTGAAAAAGGGATTGGGAGTTTCGTAACTATCTAAGCAATGGATGATTAGAGTTAGATGGATAAAATGAACACTTTCTAGATTCATCCAAAAAAAAAAAAAAAAAATGTAATCATTTACTCAGCCAGTTTCTTTCTTCCTCTAATGGATAAACTGTGTTGGTCCCACTTTTCCTTGCAATTGCAGTGAATTGAGATTGGAGCTTTCAAGCTTTAAAAAGGTGGAAAGAATTTCCAATCAATACCAATACAATTCATATATTTGTTTACTTGTACATTACATGTATTCCAAACAAAACTTCAGCACATACGCAGTGCCAGTCGCCACATTCGCCATAATGTCACCGGAGCTATTGTCAGCATAGTTGTCATTTTTATTTTTATGTAGGTGTCTTTGTTTCCACAGTATTTTTTAATTTTGATATTTTTAGGTCAAACCGTTCTTGTCTGTCAGTCATATAATGGTGGTCACCACCTCAAAGAGCATGGTCGGAGAAGTCCAAGTTAAGCATGATTTAATGACTCGTAAATGTAAGTACACATTGATGGCCTAAGACACGAAACGAGCGGTTTGTGTGAGAAAATGAACAGTATTTATATCGTTTTACCTCTTGTAACCACAGCCACATCCAAGTGATCTGAGAGCACGGACGCTTTCGGTCTGCGCAAGCGCCGGCAAGCGCCGGAAATGATCTCTCACGCGGTTGCGAAAAACGTGTACTTACATTTACGAGTCATTAAATCTTGTTTAATTTTGACTTCTGTGCACGATTTTTGAGGTGGACCCCATAGACCTCCATTATATGACTGACAGACAAGAACGGTTTGACCTAAAAATATCAAAATTGAAAATTGATCTTGGATACCCTTGAGGTAAGCTAAAACATATCAAAAATTTATTTCAAATTGAACTATCCCTTTAATGACAGAAATTTCATTTTTGGGTGAACTAGCCCTTTAAATGATTATTTCAGGTTTACACCACCCCTTCCAATCTGACTCCAAATTAATTGGGATTGAGCTCAATCAAATGGATTGAGGTTTAGAAGGATTTTAACTCAGATTGAGCCATTCAGATTACAAACGGATTATCTGGCTGCATGTAAATGTATAGCTAACTCTGATTTTAAATGAATCATTCAGCCTGGTTTTGTGATCTAGATCTACCAATTCACTGGTAAAGAATAAATCTCTAAAGAACAAATTGTTCACAAGTTAGACATCACTCTTTATTTCATGTTGACCATTACAACTGAAATATTATCCAAAAGAAAGTCCTGAAGGTGCCATGACGATGCAAGAATTTTCTTTTTTGGGGAACTATCCCAATAATGTTATTTCTCAGTGCTATTATGCAGGGATCTGCTTGTTATTTGCACACTGCAGCACACAGTTATTTTACAGCGTCTGTCAACAAACAGCTCAACAGTCTGTGTCTGGTCAATGTCGTGTGAAATCCTGTTGCACTGCTCAGTTAAATAAATTACTAAAACATGCATTTAATCAAGGCTATATTTAAGCTCCATTGTGTGCAGTTTTATTGGATTTACTGCTATTATTCTACTAAGAATGACACCAAGGGGGGGTTCAGAGTGAGTCACAGGAAGCACTGAGGGGGGTTGGAAAAAAAAGAGCATTGAGGGAAGGTCACAGGGCTCTTCTGCTGTCGGGCACTCAGAGGCATCACCTGGGGTCATCACCACTGAACTGTATGCTAATGTAAGAGCTGAAACATGGTAATCGGTGTGCTAAGAAACAAGAAAAACACAGCATACACCATGAATTCACAAAGAAAATGTGACAACAGAACAAATCTTTCGCGGAGCCGTGGTGCAGTGGTAGCGCTTATTGCTCTTGACACATTAGGGACAAAGCACTCATAGTCACAAGGGTGGTGTGTGATTTGCATCCAAACCACAACATGACCTCATCCCACTAACCCCTCTCACTGGACTATCCAAAAGAAGTCCAAAATGAATAAATAAGTCTTTTGAATAAATAATCTCTCTGTGAATGTGCCATCATATGAAATATATGTTAATGTGCTAAACATTAGCAAGATTGCAAAAGTTTGGGTCGGGTCAGTACGATTTTTTTAATCTCTTAGCTCAACAAGGCTGCTTATTTGATCTAAAATACAATAAGAAGATTGTTCTTCAAACATTTGTGATTTGTATTTTTTTATCATGCATTTTTGGCAACCATAGCTTTACGCTAATTTCACTGATTATTTATTTTAGACGTTACCATAATAATATAAAAAGTTACAGCATGGCGCAGGGAAGGGTGCATCACACTAACAGTTTCTCCAGGTCAGATCTTTCACACACCTTTAATGGTATCCAAAAAAAAAAAAAAAAACTTAAAGAAGCAAAATGATTGCAGTCCTAGCTGACAAATTGGTGCTATTGTGTGTGGCTCAGTGTGGGCAGCATATAGCCACGCAGACTTACTTCGTGCTGCATAATGCTGTTTTAGCTTAATAAATGCTGGGATATTTATTCACTCATTTTGCCATCACCCTCATGTTGTTAAAAAAATCATCCGTAGAACACAAAAGGAGAAGATTAGTAGAAAGTTCACGCTGCTCTTTTGAATATAATGAATGCAAATGGCAACCAAGTGCAGTCAAGCTCAAAAAAAAAATTATATGCAATATAGCAATGATGACAGATTTTTTTGTGCAAGGATTGTGATTGTGAGTGAAACTTTGAAGGCATTATTACATCCCGCTGATCAGAAGGCTATAATGATCACACAGATATTCGACACCATCAGCCCATAGGGGTTTAACACAGTCTTACACTGATACACATGCATATAAACACTTTATCTTCTGTCTAAGCAGCTGGTACAGCAGCTTGCAAGTTTTTTCTGCACATAACAGACAGACGCCGATTTAATTCTTCAGCTTTTAAGAAGCAAACATCAAGACAATGTCTGAAGCTTCTTACATTTCTCTCTGCCCCTCTGGAAGGGTTAACTTACAGAGCGGCGATGTGTACTTGTGAGCATGCTTTTAGTGTGCAAACAGCATAAGAAACCCTTTCTGGCATTCCCTTAGGGAGGAACACCGCCTCGGTATGATTCTTTATGATTCCTACACTGCCTTTTCATCTCGCTAATCCTTTCTTAACAGTTTAGATTTGCTCAAAATAATAGGATGTTTGCATCTTAAAAAGGTTCCAACCTCTAGATATTTGTCTACATTGTCTTCACCACGCGACTGTGATCTAAATCACAAGGCATGTTCAAAATCAGTTTTGTTCAGAAATAAAATGAATAACACATTAAATCACACAGCTTATTATCGTCCATTTGAGCCATCGCCATATTTACCCACTCAAACACATTACACGCCATCTGAACTAAGCTCAAGCCAAGACATCCACACATGCAGGCATACAAGTGCACATTGTTGTACGTATGTTCAACAAAGCTGGTTATTGCTGAAAAGCACACCTGCAGAAATATTCTCACACAAGCGTTGAGTACCAAATTCCTATTTTGTGAATCCTCAAGGAGATCAACCTTTTTCAAAAACATAACTTAAAGGCAAAACATTCAGCCAAGTGGAACACTTTACACATTTTAATTTAAAATGACTATCTTTTCTTTTCTCTCCTGAGCAAATAAACCTGTGTGTGTGTGTGTTTAGCCTTCTGCCTGTCATCTCTGTAGCTGTGTGAGTGATATTAGTATGTTTATTAGCTTTTTGCCTGTTCTCCATTCTTCTACCTTTCTGGGGCGGCAGTGGCTCAGTGGTTCATGTAGGTTGTCTACAAACCAAAAGGTTAGTGGTTCAATCCCCGGTTCCACCTGACCAAGTGTCGAGGTGTCCATGAGCAAGACACCTAACCCCAGCTGCTCCCGACGAGCTGGATGGCGCCTTGATTCACGTCTGAGTGAGTGAATGTGAGGCAATATGTAAAGCGCTTTGGTGGTCCATTTACCATTCTGCACCACACCATGACAGAAGAACGGACCACAACAACAAGACAAGGAGGCCATTCTCATCACCCCTTCCAACTTCCCCAACCGGCTTCTGACCTGTTTCCAGGACGGCCGTCACATTGAGGAATATGTCGCTAAGTTCCAGGAGCTCTCTGATGGGGTAAGCTGGGCTGATGATGTCCAAAAAGTCTTTTGGTGTGGGTTGGACGATCATCTATACCAGCAAGCTCCAGCAGCAGCGATCCCAAGTACGCTCGCCCAGTACCTGGATCATGTGCTGTGGTTGAGCAGTATCTAGATGATGACATCGCCACTCAACCACCAACACCAGCTATCTTCTTTGCCATGCTTCTGTCTTCGTCCAGAGTCATAAAGAGGACTTAATTGACTGAGCTCGTCTTGTCTTCCAAGCCAGAGATGCCTGACCAGCCTGATCCTCACATCAGTCCTGCCGAGTCTGTGCATCACGTCATGCCCGCTGAGCCAGGGACTGTTCCCGCCATGGCCGTCGAGCCCGAGCTGCACGTCAGTCCTGCCGAGCTTGAACCTTCTATCCCCGAGTCTGTCTCCAAATTCCCACCCAGCCTCCCTCTCCCATCTCCTTCCATCTCTAATCTTCCACCACTGCCTGTCAGTCCCTCAGGATCCCCGGTCTCCACCTCCAACCTCCACAACCAGGATTCTACCTCGGCCCTTCGTCCCATCTACTCCAACTTGGCTCTTACCTCCCTCAGCTCCACCGTGGCCCTTCAGTTCCCTAGTTCCACCAGGCTCCCTTGTCCCCCCGGATCCACTTTGGTCATTCGTCGTTGTTGACCTTCCCTCACCTCTGGACTTCTCTCCTCTGGCTACGCCTCGTCCCTTCATCTCCCTGGCTCTCTTGGACTCCTCACGCCCTTCAGTTCCACTTTGGTCCTCACTCTTGGCTTCACCGTGCCCTTCTGTGTCCTCGCCTGCACTTCAGTCACCAGAGCCTGCGGCGTCACCATGTCTGGACCCTCGGTATCACCTAGGTTCGTCAGCTCCACCCTGGTCTCCTCTCCTACCTGCTCCTCCCCCATCAGTCAGCCCCCTGGAGTCATCAGCCCCGCCTCCTCCATGGCTCCTCCCTCTGTCGTTTCCACCCTGGCCGTCTGCACCATCTGCTCCGCCCTTGTCCCTCCTGCCTTTTGTTTACCTTTCAACTGCTCTCTGTCCTCCATCTGACGTTGGTCTATCTTCATCGCGAGGTCATGCTTTGTGGGAAGTACTGTCACACCTCAGCGGACTACACATCCCAGCATTCCTCATGTTCACCCCCCACCTGATCACCTACATGTCATTATTCGCCATGGACACTAATGTTCCTCACAGCTGTCTGTCATTGTCTCGTCATCACCTTTTATATTTAGTTCTCTTTTGTTCACTCAGTCTTGGTCCGTTCTCATTAATATTTACTTATAGTGTGTGTGTTAAACTTTCTGCCTGTCATCCCTGTACCTGTGTGAGTGATATTAGTAAATGTTTGTATTGGGGCTTTTTGCCTGTTCACCTTTCTTCTACCTACACCACACCGTGAAAAGGCCTAATGTTCCATAATGACACACTGGTTGCATTTGAAATCACATACTTCACTACTATATAGAGGACAAAAAAACAGTATGTGACAAAAGTAGTATGTAGTAAGTAGTAAAAACAGAACAGGTTGTAATTTTACCATAACATTCTGTATATATAAAAATACTCACATTATTTTAGTGAAAGCTAAAAAAAAACTATTTGATATATATATATATATATATATATATATATCATTATTATAGTAAAGTGTTTTGTTTTGAGAGTTTAATTGGTAGGTTTAGGGGTATGGGTGATAAGGGGATAAAAAAAATACTGTACTGTCTGTAGTATATATAAATATAGAATATAAAATATAGAAATCATTACGCCTATGGAGAGTTCCCACTCCCCACAAAGAACGCCAAAGAGAGTGTGTGTGTGTGTGTGTGTTCATTAGCCCTTGTTGCTAATAAAAAAAACATTTTCATGAACTTCAGTGACCATGGAGGGGCCATTGAGCCTTTAAATGCCAGAGGGGTCCCAGCTGATCACTCAGCCTCCACGTGACCCGTCACTTTACATTCTGCTTGATGAGATGACGTGACTACTCTTCAGCCAATTTCATTCATTAAAACCATCTTTAAACACAATCTGATATCTTAATCCTTTTACGTGTATTGCAGACATTAACATAATGTTACTAACAGCCATCGCTATAACCACAATATAAGATGCATCTCAATTGCGTGACAGCTAGAGCGCGCGCGCAATCGCGCCTTGATACATACAGCGACGTTTCTTTAAAACGACGAGTTAAATTAAATCTTGAAAACACGCAAAAAAAAATGGACAAATAAATAACATTTACATTTTCATAAAGCACAAACAATGAGCACAGACGCGTCTTATCCATTATTGGATATACAGTAGCCTATTTTCCTCTACAGCAAAATACATGCGACTGTAAAATGCATACCTTTCATCCAGTCGACCACCTGGCTTGTTGACCACCTGCTTACAGGTTCCATGACCAAAGCCATTGTGGAAGTTTTTGCAGACGGTGCCAAACAAAGGTGCGAAAGAGGCGCTTCAGCACACTCCTGATCCACTCACGCAGATTTCTGCCTGTTTTTCATCCGCTGCATGTTTACCCTGCAATTTCTGCCTTGGTTTTTGAAAAACGAAGCGTTGGTGGTCTTTCAAGTTCAAAGCATTGCTCTGCATTCCTTCGCACTAGTCTTTGTGAGAGAGCTGTCAGAATAGCCTTAGATTTATCTTGGTCGCGCGCGAGTGTTTATCCTCATTTCTATCATATTCATTCACGATGTGAAGCCTTTAATATTTCCATTCCTCATCCCATATATCGAGCCGAAAAAGAAAAACAACGGTGAATTTGCGCGGCTGTTTGCCTCGTCTCGAGACTCAAGCTGTTCCCAGTAAACAGTAGTCTGCACGCGCACCCCTCGCGCACACTCGTATGACTCGCGCCTCGTCCATTCTTGCCAGTCGTTGGCTCTGGCAAATGAGCCGTCATGAGGGCCAAGCAGCGGAAACATCTCCATAATTGAGCTGTGTGCCAACCATAGGATTAAATACACGCTTACATAAAGATTGGGCCTATTGCTCAACTCTTATTATTTCCAGATTCAAGTGAATCATTTAATACTTTTAAGCCATTAATGACAAGTTATATATGAAGAGTTCAGATGCAAAAGCCTCTATAGTACCATTTGAAATTTTCTTCTAAAATTATAATTTTTATCAAGCTTGTATATTTAAGTTCAGTAATTTCACTTAAATGGCAATGAAGATTACCTATTAATTGTCATTTAAGTGAAATTACTGAACTTAAATATCCAAGCTTGATAAAAAATGGTCATTTTAGAAGAAAATTTCAAATGGCATTTAGAGGCTTTTGCATCTGAACTCTTCATATATATATATATATATATATATATATATATATATATATATATATGAATAGTATGTCTTTTAAATGACAATCATCCTTTTTTTTAACTTCTTACTGTTATGAAGAAATTTTATGAAGGAAAGAATATAAAGCAATATAATTAAATGGTGACGACGTCAGTTCCTACATTCCGTCCCTCCCAACCCCTCTTTGTGTTCCAGGAGAAATTATGGATTTATAATTTTCAATTATGAAAATTATGGATAATAATTTTGATTTTTGGATGAGGAAAGAGGAAAGGTGCACACACACACGTACACATACAAGAAACACACACACACACACACACACACACACACACACACACACACACACACACACACACACACACACACACACACACAATATAAAGGAACAGTAATATTTAGGTAGAATATAAATTCAATTGAATGCATGATTAAAATGGCAAATTCCATAAAAAATAAATAAATATTTTTTTCTTTTTAAATGCCTGCTGTCCTCAAAACTGGATTGACCTATTGTCGGGGCTTTGTGCTTGATCATTCAAGGGGAAACATGCAACGCCATGAGCTGACATTCATGCTAGTGCCTGTCCCAATTAAGCCACTTTCTTTTTAAGAAACATGCCAAACAAAGAAAAGATATTCATGACATGCATGAGCCATTTGGTTAATGTGACTGTTAATTTCAGAGATAGTTTTCCTAAAAATGATATACTTACCCTGTTGTTCAAAAATACTTTCTCTCTTCTGTGGAACAAAAAAGAAGTATTTTGAGAAATGTCACAGTGTATTTTTGTACAGAAAAGCTAAATGCTCACCAAAACGGTTTGGTTACCAATATTCTTAAATAATATATTCAAAATACAAAGTAACAGGGATGTATTTCAAAGTGCTTTATGTTGATTTGACATCTCTTGGGAACATAAGGGGAGTGTGCACTGCTGACAGATGTTGAGAATCCTTACTGCCGGCAGGGGTGTTGAGGAGAGGCTTTTAAGGGACAAGGGAGGGAGAAGAGATCAAGGTTCAAGAGCTGCTCCATTAAGAAACTATAACAAATCTAGTGCCTTTCACAGTGGGAATTCGGGCCTTTTAAATACAGAAACAACACATGGATCAACACAGGATCCTTCACCACAATGGTGTCAAATAGGGTATAAGTCAAGGTGCATAGGAAGTGCACGGAAACTTTATAGTTTTTAAAAATAAATAATATAAAATATCTATTGTTTAACTTTTTTAACATACACACAACAAAAAATACTCCGAAAAATAATTGGCAGACCCCTGTCGAAGACATCTGTTATCGGTAGATTTAAAAAAAGGAAAAAATAAAAAATATGGGGAAGCAAAATAGAAAGGTAAAATAGATTAAAAAATATTAAAAGGTACACTAGTAAATACACTACAAGCCAATAAATAGCCTAACCATATAGGCCTACATACTGAATAAAGAACACAAATAGCCTATAAACCTAAAGCAAAACAAAATGCTCCTAAACACACAACCAGCTCAAAATAGCAGAATAAAAGCTTGAACTGTTCCCAGAGACACTAAACATAGCAGTTAACAGAAGACTAACATTAGTCTACTGCCTCTACAACACTTACAAAATCAACTTCACTAAACATTCTGTCTCTTTAAGAACATAAGGAAGTAACGTTAGGCCTGTAACTTCAAACCGAAAGTGATATGGTCAGACTAGGTGGGCGTTTGATAGAGGTTTGTTCTCTGTCGCTGATAAAGTTTAATACGGGCTTGGTGTGGCATACGTGCCCAGATGAAAATAATTTATGAATGGATATAATTTAAAGTTAACAAACCGGTTTTATTCGTTTCATCTTCGGAATTATATGTGAACGAGACGTGGATCGAGACGATTGCGGACCCACAAGCATTGAAATAAACAAAGGTGAACTCATTTATCTGAAGCTCTTATTTCTCATACAGTGAAGGTAGGCTACAAAACTTTCTTGTAGCTTCCAGAAACAGGCTGATCAAATATTGGCTTCTTTTTACAACATTATTAACGTATTATAGCCTAGCATAGCCTACATTAATAAACATATTTTTGAGGTCAACGGAAACATTGAGTGGACGAGCTGCAACTTGTTTTATGAACTAACAGTTCCTTCTGTAGAAATAACGCCACGTTACGTTAAAGATTTGGCACAAAAACCCCAGTGTTAAATTGATTTTGCTGTGGCAAGTCTTCTAAAACGTAGAAAAATAAGCCAAAAGTAAACCAGCGCATTTTAAAGTTTATGTGCGTGTACATAAATCACATTATGATTATTTCATTGTAAGCACAGAGGCAGTTTATGATTGGCTGTCAGTTGCTAAACACACAACTCGCTGGTATTCTGTATTCTAGCATCATTGTTTCACACTGGCTCACACTGGCGCCGCAAGTTAGTGTTAAACGTTACTTAACCAGGGTTTAGAAAGGGATAAACGTGTTAGGCTACTACTGTAACAAAGACTTATGTTTTAGCAATGATAAGGCAATATTTGAGCGCTCCCACAGGAAGACATAGCTATGGGTCATTCACGTGAAAGGCAAATGAACATGGCAAAATGTGTATCGCTTTTAACAGGGTAAAAACACCTAGCTGCTTGGGAAACGCTGCAAGTAGGCTACGAGATGGATGACGACGGAGTAGACATGGCGTCAGACAACAGTCTGCCATTAGGAATTGGTGCTTCTGCCTTCGGGAGTGAAAATGGGGATGAAGAGGACGACTTCATTCCTCAGAGGACACTTCCATTCACCCTTGGATACTCCGATCCTTTGGGGTAAAATGTTTTTTTGGGGGGAATCTGATATTGATGTGATATACAGGGTTCAGAAATGAATATCCATGTTGACGTGCATTGCACGCATGTCTGTTGTGTAAGTGCGACGCTTGCTGGTAAGTCCAGGAACACGCCATATTTGTGTAGCCTACTAAACGTATTGTTGCTAAGCTTGGTTAACTCTAAAACCGTATTCTGGATAAATGTGGGGAAAAATAGTATTGATTTATTGTTAAAAAAAATACTTCCCTTGATCTGAGCGGTACAAGACTTAGTTACTTTTCTTAAGTTTGCCTCCTGAACACACACATTTTTTTTACTCAATTCTACAATGTTAAGTGGTCAAGTGGATGAAAAAAAACTCCTTAATCTTGTATTTGGGTCAAAAATGGACACCCATAGAAAGGTTAGAATAGGTTTTAGCTCTAAGAACTTATTGGAATGATATTTTATGTAGTTAAAAAAATAATAATAATACATATGGTATATGGTACTTTTTCAAGTACATAAATTCAAAAATGCCCCCAAAATTAAAAAAAAAACACCATAAATGGATAGATAAAACTTTATCGAAGACAGTGATAACATAATTTTTTTATAATAAATAAAATTTATTATTATAAAATTTATTAAAAAAAATATTATTTTTTATAATAAATAAAAAATTAGGAACACATCCGAGTCCTCTGTGCCCACATTTGTCCACAATTACAGGATCAAGGGCTATAAAGTGAATACGGTTTGAAGGCTACTTAATCTCATTTGCTTTAATTTGAATGACTTTTTCATGTTTACATTTACAATGATTCTCACCAGACAATACGTGGAGAGAGCGGAGTCCCCTGCACCCAGTTACACCTCCATGCAAAGTGACAGCTGGTCAGAGACAAGAGAAGAGCGTAAAGAAAGTTGCACACAGTAAGTTTGCTTCACTTTCATTCAGACCGAAGAATAATTAAAAAAAAAAAAAATTAAATTTTTTTAGATGATCTAAGCTGGTGCCATCTTTTATATATTGTCATCTTTCTTTGAGTTAATATGCATCATAAAGATACAAGCATTTTAAAGAGAGAATTTAGACTTTGAGAATAGACTTTGAGCTCTCTTTGTGCTTGTGGCTTAAGTTGTTATTCTTGTAATTCTGGTTCCCCTGGTTAAGATTTTCAACTTTCTACAGGGTTCTGTTGTGCAGACGGGATTCGTCTGCTTCTAGCAATGAATCCTTTAGTAGCGATGAGGACATGAATCCAGAGGGTGATGCTGAAGAAAGGTGAGAAGTCACATTATGCATCTCTGTATCATTCTGGTCATATATTGGTATACAATTCAGAAGTCAGTAAAGAGAGATTTTTAAAAAAGGAATTAAAATTAAAATGAATTAAATGAATTTTCAGCCTGGCCTATATACATTTAAATGATTAATTTATTTACATATTTAGTTATATAATGCTTACATTTCAAAAGTCATTTTTGTTGTACAGATTTACACTTATTTTAATTTTAAAATACATTTTAATGTGGGAGGAAAAGTACACATTTAGCTGAAAATATAGTAATTTTTATGTATAATATAAATATTTAGCATTTTAACTATAAAATACAGTACCATTCAAAAGTTTGGGATCAGTAAATAAAAATAATAATAATAATAATATATATATATATATATATATATATATATAACACACACACACACACACACACACACACACACACACACACACACACACACACTTTTATTTAGGAAATACATTAAATTTACCAAACG